TTATTTATATTCTCTTAACTCTATCAGTGTCTGTTAATCCTATGTGGAACAATAAGTTTTTATTTAAAAAAAATAGTTCATAAAAAACGTTTGCATAGAACAGAATATAAGGGTTCGACAAAAGTCGAGCAGCTGTACATAGAGCTGAGGATTATACAAACAAATTTGATGGTCTCGATATTCCTAATGAATATTTGTAGAATCTTGACGCTTAGCGACTTTTAACATCGGTCTAAAATATATCAGAAGATATTAGATACTTAGACCTCATCAGAAATTTTCAAAATAGCTGTTAAATCCTACAGAATTCGGAACAGGGCTCCTAACGGAATGGGATGGGACACAATTTTCGTCCCGTGGGATAATGCAAGTCGTCCCATCCCATCCCATGGGCTCCCATGGGATTCGCTATATTACGAAAAATCTTACTGAAAATCAAGGTTTATTTTTTTTGTAACTGGAAATTCGAAGTTTTCCAGCATTCCGATTTGAATATTGGAATTAGGGATGCAGCAATTCCTAGTACATTGCAAGAAATATGACATTTTTGCCTGATGTAGAGCGGAGCGGTCCTCTAATTCCATATATCAGCCAAGATCATTTTTTTGTTCTATGTAAAACGATAGCCGAGATTTATGAAAGATTAAAAAACGTTTTCGGATTTGACTCAGAATTTGAATTTTTAAGTCGTTTTCAGTCAAATCCAATTCCGTTTCAGACTTGCAGTGTGCATTACACAAATTCTAAGAATAGATTTGAAAAGAACGTTCAAGACTGAACAGAAAAAAATAAGTAAAAAGAGGCTTAATCCATAACTCCCAATGCTGAGAACATGTAAACGTTGGATAAAAAATTCAAGAAATTGACGGGATTGGATCTTTTTCCTACTTAAAAATGACGTGCCCGGTAGTGAGAATTATCGATTGAACATCTCTTTCTTCATATTTTTCTGTTCAGTTTTGAACGCTTTTTCAAATCTATTCTTAGAATTTGTGTAATGTAAATTGAAAGTTTGAAACTAGGTTGGATTTGGCAGAATTTGACGGAAAACGACTTGAAAATTGGAATTGGGAGTCAAATTCAAAAACGCTTTTTCATCTTGAATAAATTTGGATTATAGTCTTTCATAGATCGAAAAAGATGATCTTGACTGATATATGGAACGGAATCAGAGGACGACTGCCTCCTACATTAGGCAAAAATTTTATCTATCGTACCATGTACTAGAAATTGGTACATTCCTGGTTGAAATATCATTATCAATACCTTTTAATTCTGCTTGTGATGTTGTAAACGAAATTTGACTTTCTCAACTGAACATTCCTGTTTATCCGAAACTAAGAATGATAATGAGGAAGAAATAATTATAGAAGGTGATATTGAACAATTTATAAAACAAAAGATGATGATATTTTATTAAAACATTCAAACAAAAAGAACATTTATGTTTATTTCTGTTTTCTATGTTTTATCGTATTCTTTATTCAATTGTTCGAATAGAGCTCGGAGTTGGGTTAATGACCAGTACAGAAAAAGAATGATAGTATTCACACTTTTCACCTATTGTCAAGTGTGACATAAATGAATACTCATTTTTCTTTAAAAAAAATAATCACATTTCCCATGGGATTGGGAACTCATCCCATCCCACTAGGAGCCCTGATTCGGAATAATTCAAAAACTAATTTGTTTCTATAATTCAACTATCTGGATGGATTAAAATCTGTTACAAAATATTTCTATTAAAATTTGACCACCTCTAACGAAAAGTTATAAAGCTCCATAGGAACCAACAGTTCATAAACTACGATCCAACATAAGAATGGAAGTGCATTGTTGAACATTTATGTTATTTTTAAAAGTATTGCTTAATAGCAGAAGCCTGATACACGAAGAAGAGAAGTCAGACGAAATCTGGCAAGTACAGAAAGGGGACAGAGCATGGAGAAATAAGGATAGCTAAAGAATGATGAGAGATAAACAGATTCAAAAACAAGACTTTTTATCAGGCGTCCTTTGTCGAGATGTCCCATAGAGAAGTAAAACAATTTCACAATGTTACGGATAAATAAAACGGATATCTTTTGAACATTCATACATTTGTCGTTTATCACATGATGAAGTGGTGTAGTTTTATATTGTTGAAAGGCAACTTAATTTTATTCATAACCTTGAAATGGCATATTAAGATGGCATGATGTTAAGGTGAGGATTAGACAAATATTTGATCGGTGACATAAATGCTCGTTTCAAGCGGAAAAATGACGTTCAGGTCCAAAATGCTTAAAAACTAAACTTACGATACACACACCAAACAAAAAAACACTAGCGAAAATATCCCGTTCCCCTAATAACGTCAAACCACTCTAAAAATGAAGTTGCAGCGGAAAAATGAAAAACTCAATGGGAAAAATACTTTAGACAAATGAAACATCATTTTTCGTATAGAGAAAAATGTGTTCGTATGTAATCGAAATGAACGTAGAGCTATTCGCGATAAGAGAAAAGGATTTTGCACAGTACTAAGGATGTTGGGAAAATGTACAGTCGGTTAGATTTTGGTTGACTTTGGTTAAAACAATGATGAGTAAATTTGCATGAAGATGGGATGCCGAAAATCATTTAAGATATAAGCGAAAGCTTTGATAGTTTTGTGGTGATGCATGACGAATGCCAAAGAGCTGGTAAGAAGTTTGATTTCAATGAATCGTTGGGAAAGAAGGAATGTGAGCAATGAAGATGAAAATGAAAGCTACTCATATTTGGTGTTTGTAAAGTTGTGTATAGCATGGAATATGTTATATATACACGGATATCTTTTCTGAACAGTGACGACAAAAGTACTCGATATAAATTTAGTGTACACACGCGCTGATTTATACTGTATAGTTTGTCTTCTGTTATAGACAGAACGGGAAAATAATTCAGTTTTGACCTGAACGGCATTTTCCCGCTTGAAATGAACATTTATCTCATCGATCGATTTTTTGTCTATTGCTGGTTAAGGTACCCAGTGAAAAATAATCATAGAAAAAAACCGGTGTAGAACGCGTTCCATTTTCAGAGAAAGCTGTTTTTTTCTTAAAAACAGTTTTTCATCTTTTCGGAATTCGTTCTATAACGTTTTCATTTAGAAATGTTGGATAACGAATTCCACAATCTAACGAAATCGTTCTCGGCCAATTCTGTAAAAAGTATTTTCTTCAGAATTGTCTAGCTACCTGAAATCCGTATTTTTTTCTGTTTTGAATTTGATATACATTTTATTATTCTATTTAACGTACGTGGTTTCTTATTTCTTTAGCTGGTTTTTATTTGTAGCTGCTTCGGGCTGAGTTCGTACTGACCTATCTATGCTTTTATGCTATTAAACTATCTTCTCTGATAGCTAGTGTAGTGAAAATACTACTGGAGTTGAACAAAATATTAAAATCAAAACGTAAATTTTCATTTTAAACGTTCATTCCCATTCATATTTGACAGAAAAAGATAAAAACTTTAGTTTTAGCCTATTGCTTTTAAAATTTAAACAAGCAATTATTACATAAAAAAATTTATCCAAATATGTTAAAAACATTTATGCTTACATATTAATATCAAAAAATAAATATGCTGTACGGATTAATATGTATTCTGTTTAAATATAAATATATATATTTAAAATTTAAATGTAATATTCAAATAAAAATAGATCGGTTAGACAAATATTTATAGGACGACTTTTTCTAAAATTATTCTTAACAGAAATTATAAAATTCCGTTTTTCATATCAATTGTACAAGACACATCCTTGTGCTTTTAAAACTAACTAGTCGATCCAGAAACTAACAGCATGCTAGCTATCTACTATCGGTACCAAAAAAATGTGGCATGAATGAGCGATTATATTATCCATGTATGAGGCCCAGCCAAAATGTACTTGTTTCTTAAATTCTTAGCCCGCTCTATTTATTTCTAGAAATTAAAATTAATCTTATACCTATAATATAAATACAAATGTATATAAATGTATTTATATCGAAACAGATATGTTTTTATGTCTAAATTTTAGTATTTATATTTATCAAATGAATACATATATACACGTATGTACATTTGAAAAATGTAGAATGGTAGAGAACGTTTTCTTTTCTTTTCAAGGATGATGTTTAATGACTTGGAAAGTGTTCATTGCTTTCAAGAGTCCATTCTTAGGAATTTCGTTACAGAACGTGAGCGAACGCGATCTCCTCAAAATGAAACTCAGTCCTGACCTTTCCCAAATAGAATGAAAAGAAAACCATTCTGATAGCGAACGGAACGGGTTTGAAGGCTTTCTATTCTGGCAAAGAAAGACTTTTGAACTAGGCAGACAACATTCCATAACACTATGGAACGTTGAAGAATGCATTCACTCAGATGTTGAATGAGTTCTTTTCAGCAATGAACACATTCGTCAATTTATAGAGCGCGTTCTTCGTGAAAAATATAGCTTTCCCTATTCCGATGAGTGTGTTCCTTCCCGTTTTTTCTCATGATTATTTTTCACTGGGATAGATGCTCCTACAACACATGTTTTTCTCCTATGGAAAGGAAAGAGCGAGTTAAATTTGTTTTCTTACGCACATAAATAAATATAACTTGTATGCTAAAAGACCCATGCTTTTCCTCATTTTCCCTTTTTTTTTGTTCTCCGATTTCTTTTTTTTAACTCTTTATTTCAGCAAAGAACATAATCAAGAACACAATGCGCGGTAGTAAAAATAATTTTTTACTTACTTTTTTCTTTTCTTTTACTAAGGTTATTAAAATATTATGGAAAAACTATTCTGTAATTGATCTTCATAAGGTTAACCAATAAAAACTGGATTTCGATTTGGATTTACAAAGTATTCCATCAATTTATTAGCATTATCAATTAATGATTAAGAATATGAAATAAATTCTGAATTAAAATGTTCGAAGAGTTTATTTGAAAATGAAAACTAATAGATTTATCTTGATTGAATTTAAGTATTTCAATGTGTACTAATCGAATATACTCTTCATACATACGTCAATATTTTCGATTATTATCGTTGTCAACAATTAAAATTATTTTATTAATATTGATTTTTTTTCTTGTCCTTCTTTATGCTCGCCTATTCGATAGATCTAATCGATGGTGTGATCCTGAAAAATCATTATGGTGGTTTTGCCCATGGCCAGGTGCTGAAACTATTTGCAGCTGGCATCAACACTTTTCAATAACCGATCAAAGAACTCGGTAACTAATTTTTGTCGTTTCCTTGTAGAGCCTATTCGACATCAAACAAAGAAATCAATAAATATATTATATGAGCGGCTTTTAAAATCATAATACTTAATGTTATATTAGAATACAAAGTACTGACTTTCAGGAAGTCTATGTAGTATTCTCGTGGCATACACTTTTCTTTTTCTTCGATTGTTTAGTATAACCAAAAACTGAATTAACCTTATCCATAACTCATAAAGTAACTCGCCAAATCTAGATCTGTCTTGAGGGTAAGTACTGATGCTTTCGTTATTCAAATTGACGCGATCATCAATTATGGCTAACTAAAATTGTGACTCCTCATGCGTCTAACTTCATCATTCTGTGATTTATCTTTTAAAACTTTTTTCTTGGCAAGTTCTATTGAGGGCTGGACAACATCCACAAAAATCGAGAAACTGTTCCATTTCCAGCAGAAATCGTTTACCCAGAAAAAGGCAAGAAGAAACGCTTCATTAAGAACAAACTATTTTCTAAGCAAAACTTCACTAAACACAGAGAGACATCAATCATCTCCTTACCGTCTCTCACACAAATTTCAAACAGATACGCTTTTATTCCAGTAGAAGCGGTACTATTCTTAAGGAGAAATGGTTTAGCCGTTTCCCCCTCACAAGGAGAAATCGATAAGACACTAGGAGATATTGATTAATTTTTTTTCCTCTTTGAAGGTAGTTTCTAGCAGAACGATTATTTCTGTTTCTGTTGAATGATAAGTTCAGGTGTAAGTGGATAATTGATAGTAGCAGCCTCGTTTTCTTTCGATATGAAATTATTTTTGCACGTGTAGCGTGGATGGTTGAAATAAGAAAAGGAAAATTGAATATCAATCATGTGTATGTATGTGCAACATTTGATTCAGTTTGGTTATCTTTCGTTACTTTTTTCTGATCAATTCTTAGTATTGACGGAAATAGATCGAAGGAAATTCTAGCTAGAAAGAAATGGATATTTGCTGATTCTCTGTTGTGTAGCTGTGTAATTTCCCACGGTTTTAGTGTGTTCCCTGATTTATATTGAGGTTATTATTAGAAGAAACGCTATGTAAATACTCTTCGATAGTTATATCAAGGATTAAAACAAATTTCGATAGATAGCTTAGAAGGCAATGGAAAGCTGATCTTCAAAACCTTGGATAGATTGGATAACCTTATGTTCAACTTGAAAGGGTGAAGATATGTGTTATTATTTCTTGCTATGTGTTTAAAGAAAATCATAATTCGAAAAAAGGTAACAAGGAAAGATAAGAAGGCTGATACTGGTCAGAACGAGCAACGATAATGTTGAACAGATTACAGGGGGCCATGAAGTGCGACGAACGGTTGGCATATGTCGAGCTGGAGGTGCTTGCTACACCATTAATTAGAGCTAATGCCATGGCATGACTATCCACTTGATGATACGAAGCTAAATGACGACAATATTGGGCCGTATCAGCTGAAAACCAAATTTCGGGTTCAACTCTGAGTTTGCACGCGACCTTCAAGTTGGATCGAAATCTTTCCATCGTATTCATGGTGAATAATATGAATTACAAATCTGAAAGAAAAATCGTATATTTCATTAGACTATCCCATTGGAGCAGTAGTTATAAAACTAAAATGATGTTTTTATTCAAACGAATATGGTAAATTATTATGATACCGAATAACTTTGGACCCGTTATATTGTAATTGAAAGTGACAGTGATATAATAAACAGGATACCCTATCGGCATAGTAAAGTATTGGTATCTAAATAATTTATGCTCTGAACAACAACAACAACATACCCAGGTCGACTGATCCGACATCGGATCCAATAGGAACCTGGAAATATCCTACAATCCGATACAATTCTATTGGATTCCGGGTCGAGGAATCGATGTCGAATCCTCAGTGTCGGAATCCTACGAACTTCCGATGACATACAACGGTTTTTCCTTGGAATTCATAGGAATCCGACACTGAGGATCCGATAAAATCCTATTGGATTCCAGTCGGATGGGATGGGTTCCGATAAGTGCCTACTGTCAGATTGCTCGACCTGGGTATATATATATATATAGTGTAGAATGAGCCCATTAACAAATGTAAAAGATCTTCCGTTAGGATGGTAGGATTAATACATTATGTTAGTGAAAATATCCAAACAATAAATAAAAAATGTTCACTTTTACAAAAGAAAATTATTTTGACCTCTACGTTGCAAGTTACACAATCATTGGAACATATTTTATTATATGGACTCTATCGAGTAGAACTATGGTTAAAACGTCATTCTAAAAGATTTTATTTCTCTTTGTGAAAAGCATTTCCGTATATACTTTAAACATTTCTGCTTGAATTAAATGTTATTGTCGTTGAACAAAAGCAACTGATATATGTGTGCATATATATATATATATATATATATATATGAATTCTTTTTTTTCATTTCTCCTTCCTACCCGTAATTTGTTTTGGGTGCTCCATTTCTGCTTAAAGTGGAACAGCTTCCCGATCGATTGGTACTGTTGTCTACTGCTGGTTCTATTTCAAATTTAAATCTAGAAAAGGAATTCTTTTTTATACGACACCTCCGATATTATTTTTCTAATAGCAATCTCGATAAATTTCGAAAGTATTTTCTAAAGGTTTGTTTAGCATGATCTAACTCATTTTCTGTGTTTTCTTTTCTTTTATCTCTCTATAGAATTGTCGCTTGCATAATAGTTTTTTGTGGAAACCTGTCAAGCTGAAAGAGTAAAAGCTTGATTGATTTTTAACTGCCAGTCGTGAATATTGCTTACAAAATGGTTTTCTAAAACTACGGCTGCGATACTCACAGAGTCAAATTTAGCGCTCCATTGAATAATCTAAATAATATGAAGAAAGATAAACTAAATTCCATAGGCGATCATCTAAATATTAACAGTCGTCCATATGAGAATGTCCGCTCAGTTGAAAATTTCAGAAAAAAGGCATTCTATTTAATGCTATAAAAATCTTTTAAATTTATTTAGTTCTCCGGAATCATATGAAGAAATATTTTCATCACTTCCAAAAGTTCGATCTTCTTTTGAATTTAACAATTTAACATTGAAAAAATGTACTGAACCATCAATAGATATATTAATATTTGTAATATCAAAATGTTCTCATGCTTCAATTCGTCAATCGATTCGTCGAACATGGGGAAATACAAAATTATTAAAAATATATTTTCCTAATGTAAATTTAAAATTATTATTTTTAGTTGATATTGATTCAAAATCTGAAAGAAAGATTGAACTTGAATATAATTTTCATAAAGATGTTGTACAAGTAAAAACTCTTCCTGAACAATATGAATATGTAACAGATCGTGAAGCAGCACTATACGAATTTATTAAAGAAAGGTGTAAACAAACAAAATTTCTATTTAAAACCGATGATGATATATTTATAAATACATTTTTATTATTATTGTCGAAAGAAAAATTTGAATATTTAACAAATAAAACAAAATATTCCTTATTTGGTTTTCCTATTGAATATGGTTTAGTTGTTCGTCGTGCAATTGATCAAATTGGTCAAAGATATATTATTACAGATGATGAATATTCGTGCCCAAGATATCCAACTTTTTTATCTGGTTTTGGTTATTTAATGTCATTTCAAACATTATCTTTATTAATTAATGCATATCAAACTGACTCAAAACCATTTCCATTATCAGATGTTTATTTTACGGGTTTATTACCGCAGATGATCAACATTGAAAGACAAACTATTTTTCAAAATGTTGATTATCGTTATCAAACAAAATGTAGTGAAGAATTTTTTAAATCACAAAATAATCCATTTGCTTGTGCTGCTTCAAATGATCATTTTAATGGAAAAGAATCAGATGGTATTCGAACTTTCATGAATGATTATAATTTATATTGGACAAGACTAAGAAAAAAATATCATACTTTGAAATTTTCTACAGCATAAATCCATTTTTAATAATTTGGTGTAGTTTTTTTAGCATTATCCTATAAAATGCTTTACTCCGACGATTATGACAAAGGACTTTGTAATTTTTTCATGCTGTAACCAATGTGTTATTTATACAAAATCAAACTTAGTTGTTTCAAAATTCAGATAAAGAATCGTATTCATAAATAAAAGATTTTAATATAATCTCCAAAAATTCTAAATTTTTATTTATGAGAAATTCGACTCATTGTAAATCTATCGTCACTACATAATAACTGCTAGATCAGCAAAGATGGAAATCATAAAAAAGTATTTATTTAAAAATGAAATAGACTGACTATGACTTGGTGATATATAAAAAAAACTGGTCTCTCAAATGCATAATGGTTATTGTAATTTAGAAATTAATTTACTTTCTTAAATGAAAAAGAACATTTTTGCGTAGTATTTGCCGTTCACTTTGATTAATAACGGAAACTTAAAATTATTGGTTTTTCTCTGCAGATGCTAAAAGTGGATTGTAGAGTTCGAGTGTTATTTATGCATACAAAAATAATAAACGCTCGAGTCGGTTAAATCGAAGGACATACCGGTGCCAAGTACAACGGGTTACATACGACGTTATTCGAGTCATTTACACAAAACAACAGCCTGTTACGACAGAATCTGATTCTTTACACTATAAATTGCAACTGTTTTCTTATTGAATATTCAAATTAATATTAAATAAAATATCATTCATCAGTCAATATATTGACTGATGTCAAATCCATTATTATCGTTTCTCTATTTTTCTTATATATATATATATATATAGAGCAATTTTCTATAGTCATTATTTTCATTTATTTGCTTTATTGAATCAAAACTCAAATGGAATTTGAAAAAAAAACGGTCAATCATTATAGAAAATAATAGTAAATAGTAATACCGGGTGTTCCAAAAGTCCCTTTAAAAAGTTTTCATTAATATCTCTTCTACAACACAAGCAATTCAACTGTTTTTTTTTAAAGCAGTAGCATATTCTCTCAAGTTTTGTTTTATTTATTTTCAGATAAATGATGATACCTACAGATATTAGAATAAAAATTGTTTTATTGATGACAAAATTTGAATCATCTACGGTTATCCGACGAATATTGCGGGTCGGGTTTGGTAATAAAACACCAAGTGTAGTCTCTATTCAAGCTACATTTGAACGATTTTGTGAAACTGGTACAGTAGAAGATCGAGAATGTTCCGGAAGAACATCGAAAGTTACAGAAGACAAGATTGATGACGTCCGAGATGTTTTAAAAGAATGAACCACAATCAAGTGTTCGTGTTGTTGCAATATCTTGTTCCATTCGACCGACTACAGCATACAGAATTATGACAGAATATCTTTCATTAAAGCCATACAAAGTGCAATTCGTCCAAGAACTCCCCATGTAAAACAAAATCGTAAAAAATCTGATTATAATAGATTTTTAATCTGATTATTAATTCAATTTTTTTTACATGGGTCTATGAAGAAGATTTACAAGATTGAATTTAAATGTGTCAGACGTTGATATCATTGTTACAAGACAAGGATACTCAAGAAAATTAATTTTTTTCCGATGAAGCCGCATTTTATTTACGTGGATTAGTTAATAAGCACAACGTCAGGTATTGATCTGAGAGTAAACTACATGAAAAAATCGAAACAGTTATGAAATCTCCTAAACTGAATGTTTGGTGTGCGATATCAAAAAATCAATTAATCGGACCTTTTTTCTTCGAATAGGATACTGCTGATGGAGAAAATTATCTTTCAATGCTCCATAACTTCTTTATTCCAGAAGTCAAATAACTGCACAAGGCTCGTTCAATTATTTTCCAGCAGGATGGGTCACCACCCCATTTTGTCCGTGACGTACGACAATATTTGGATCATCAATTTCCTCAAAGGTGAATTGGAAGAGATGGTCCGATGCGGTGGGCTCCACGCTCACCGGATTTGACCCCTCTCGATTTCTTTCTTTGGGATCACTTAAAAAATATCATCTACCAAAGTCCTATCAAGGATGCGCATGAATTAAAGATGAAAATCAAGAACGAAATCAAATCCATATCAAAAGATACTTTGTATAATGTTTCTGAAAATATTTCGAAAAGAATGGAATTATGTATTGAAGTGGAAGAAAACCATTTTGAAAAATTGTTGTAAATCAACTTATATGAAATAAAACGTGAGAGAATGTACTACTACTTTATAAAAAAAAACAATTGAATCAAATGGATGGAAAAAGGCAGAAAGGAAAAATGCCGAAAGGGAAAAATATCGAAAATAAAAATGTCGAAAACATGAATATGAGGTGAAAATGAACATTCAAGATTGGAGCTGTGGGTAAGAAAGACTTGTACTTCAACGTACTCTCATTTTCAGCATTTCTATTCATCTAAATTTGTAAAATTTTTGTTTTCGATATTTATATTTTCGACATTTTTCCCTTTCGATATTTTTCCTTTCTGCCTTTTTCCACCATACCATTGAATCGCTTGTGTTGTATAAGAGATATTAATGAAAACTTTTTAAAGGGACTTTTGGAACACCCGGCAGAATACAATTATCTTGTTGTTGGACGGTATATGTGTACATCAAGGAAAAAAACAGAAATACTATGTTTTTGATGTTACTCATTATAAAATTAAAATAACATCGGACATAGTTTTGTCGTATACTTTTTCGAATAAACATAAAAATAACCGATTTTTGAAAAGCAACATGAAAATGCCAATATAATAATCAAAGGGGAAGTAACTGATTTTCGGGATATCCATTGATGTTAGATGATTTCAAATTAATTTCAGCTATTGAAATCAGTTAATTCCCTCTTGCTGAGTATTCAATAATAATAAGCAAAGGGTTTGATTAGTTTTCGATATCTTTGTTAAATAATTTCGTAATAGTACTAAAAGAAATCGAGCCGTTTTTTTGTTATTGATTTCAGAAAATATGTGGTATATTATTCAATATCAAATATATTAGTCTTTTTGGTATTTTATCAAAATCCAGAAGCGACGAGCGACGAGCGAGGTCAACGTTTTGGATTTTTGTTTTTCCTTTCATATTTATTTTTACGTAAAAATATTGTCGAGAGTCATTTTTTGTTATAGGAGAATTTTATGCTTGCTCCTACAAGCTTAATTTGAAAGGTGTAGTACATATTAATTGAGTTTTTTCTGCTATTTGGTTGTGGCGCAAGAGTATTGTAGCTCGCTGTTTTTCTCAATTATCAACAAAGAACAAGAAAAGAAATAGCTAATTGCAATATCTATGCGATATTAATCGCAAATTTCAAAAAATTAAGCACAAAGAGCTAAATATATCTAAGAAAGAAAATAATATTTACGTTTTAATCTAGTTGTTGATACGAAAAATTTCAAAAGCAGACTTGATTGAAAAGCTTTCATTTCAGTGCTCTGTAAATTCATGGCAGCTCTACTAGGTACTATAACTTGCCAGTCTTGTACTTGTCTTTACATGTTTAGCCATATATGGAAAATTACTTTTCTGTCGTTTTTCTCATTTTGAAAACACTTCTGCTGTCCGTCATCTTCCTTAGAAACCAGTCGATCGACTAATCAGATATGATTACAATGAGAATAAGAAAAAAAAGGAAATTTATTACTCTATAAGAATTTCTATTCATGTTGCAAAATAACAGACTGATTCAAAATTATGTTTTCTTCAATATTTCCTTCAATACAATGCTATTTATTTATCCTTTCAAATAATGTAGAGGGAAAAGCATGAAGAAAACGACGGGCTTTTGGACTTGAAGTAACTTTGAGCTACTTCCAGCGGTGTACTTTGAAGAATTTTTCGAACGTATTTTTCTTTCTTCAGACTTATCATTCACGATTAAAAGCTGTAATGTCAGATAAAATGAATTTTATAGTTTGCCAGTAGAAATCAATAATCGACGATAATAATAAAAACTATTATATAATAGTTTTGGATATGAAAAATAAAGAGAATGAACGAAGCTTGATTAAATAGAATCGATGGAGTATTTTTGTGACTATGGAATTTGCCTTATTAAAGTAATATTTCAATACGGAAAGCATGGTGCAATATGAGCTCATATTTTTAAATGATCAAACATACGTATTCGTCAGATCAATACAATCTTTTATTTTCCTCTAATTATTTATCAAATATTTACTATTTTTTTTCTTCTATTCACCGTTAAAAGTCTTAATAAAATAGCTGGATGAAAACGTGCAGCAGATTTAGGACTACGTTTGTGATGGATTTTTATTTGAAAAAAATTGATGCGTAATTAATGAAACCAATAAAACACTATTGAAACGATGATTGTGCATCAATAGTTTTTTTTTAAATCAGAGAATTAAAAGATAGATGTAAAAGTGCTTTCAGACAACTAGTAGAAAACTTGATTCTATATGTCAAGTGAGAACCTGAAACTGAAAATACAAGTAACAATATATAGTTTTAATGTCTAATTCAGACATGCAAACTTTATCTAGATTTAATAGTCAAAATACTGAATAATTCATTTTATAAAATGAACTCTATCTTTTGAAAAGCACAATGAAATGTTTATAGTGTATAATACCGACATCTATTGTATCAATATAAATATTTTATTATTCACATAGCGTGATAAGAGTTTCAAGAAAGAAATTTATTGTTCTCAGAGTATTGTTTGGCTTATGGCCAACCAACCCAGTATAAATCATACGAACGAACGATAAAACGATAAAATAAAGAGACAGACAGATATTTTCTCTTATTTTAAAAATTTCAATGAACCCAGAGGATATTTCGAGCATTTTTATTGGTACTTCTTAGTTTAAGTATCTTTTCTTGCATGACTCATTCATGCATTGCATTGCAGTTCATTTTGACGATGTGAAGAAACTATTTCCATTAAAATTGTATTTCATTATCAATCATTTTTCTCTTATTCAATTGAAACTGAATATTTTAGAAAATGTTTTCATTTGGTGCACCCACAAATACGACAACGGCAGGCTCGACTTCATTTGCATTTGGTAGTAATTTGACTACGACGGCTCCTACAGCTATAGCCGCATCAAATCCATTTACTTTTGGTTCTGGCAGCGCGACGAACACAGCAACAAGTGCACTATTCGGGAGTAGTGCAGGAACATTCGGAATAGGTGCACCGCAAGTAGCAACAACAGCTGCTACAGGTGCATCATCAGGTTTATTTTCATTCAGTTCAACAGCTCCAACTGCTCAAACGTCTTCATTTGCATTTGGAGCAACTCCTACAGCTCCCACAACACAATCTTCTGCATTTTCATTTGGATCGACAACTACAGCTCCTGCTACACAAGCATCTTCTTTTCCATTTGGCTCAACAAATGTAGCACCATCGACGCAGCCATCCACATTCTCTTTTGGAGCACCTAATTCAAGCTCTGCAACTCCAACTTCAACATTTGGATTTGGTTCAACGCCTACTGCTACTACCACTGGCATGTCTGCTCCCATTGCAACAAATTCTTCGTTTGCATTTGGTTCAGGTTCATCTACAGGAACATCATTCGGTAAAAGTAACCCAGGGCCAATTTCTTTTGGATCAACACCCACAATAGCAGCAACAGCTGCAACTTCAACAGGTTTCCCATCATCAACTCTTTTCACTTCAAACAATCTATCAACAACACCTTTTGCATCAGCTACAACACCAACAACTACAGCTGCGCCAGTAAGTTTTCTTTCAAAGTTTTTGAAAGGAGAACACAAAAATTATTCTGTATTCTATACATATCTTTTAGACATCATCTCTTTTTTCTTTTACGGGTGCTCCCACAACTACAACAAGTACAACTTCATCTGGTTCACTTTTCTCATTTTGTAGTCCTGCCGCTACTACTACTACTACTAGTACTGCTATTGCTACTGCTCCTCCTACATCAACATTCGCATTTTCAGCAGGACCAGTGCTCACACAGGCATCGACTGCGGCACCTGCTTCAACTTCAACACTATTTTCATTTGCTACACCGTCAATAGCATCATCAGCTACAAAAATAACACCATCTTTTACATTACCCACTCAACCTACTGTTACAGCAACAACGTCGACAGTTACCCCTTCGGTAAGTTTTATTTCTTAGTACATCATTATTTGATTATAAGTGTCAAAGTAAAAACATAGTATTCTTATTTTTAATGTTGATTCAAAAATGAAAGATAATTGAATGATTTTTAGTTTATTCAAATAAGAAGCTGTTTTTTTTATTGAAGCAATTATTTTTTTAAATAGAAAGCTCTTATATTTCTAGGCGACTTCGCTGTTTTCATTATCAACACCTACAAAAACAACAGCTGCAAGTACAAGTTCTACCACGGTCACTCCTAGCATTGCATTTATAACCCCTACAACAAATAGTGCTGCATCAAATGCTACTTTATCATTTGGTAGCTCAATAGCAACAACAACATCATCACCTAGTTCAGCCGGTTTTCTTCCCGTATCAACAACAACAACAACGAATTTATCATCAAGCAGTGCAATTTCAAGTATTCTTGCTCAACCAATAACTACAACAGCATTTCCAATAGTTGCAAATACACTCGCTAATTCCACATTTCCTAGTTCATCATCAATAACAACAACTACAACAAGCGGATTTCTAGTACCTACAATAGCTAGCACGACGACAAGTAATAGTGCAACTACATTAGTAAGAGAGCCTTTTAAATTATTTATCCCGATTGTATTTGGTTTTATCTTTTTTAGTCAAGTTTACCAACAATGACTACAGCAGCAACCACTGGTGCTGGTTTAGGTGGTTATTTTGCTCCTCCATCCACAAGTACAACAACGAGTACATCAATTGCCGGTACAAGTAGTTTATATACAACAGCAACACTCGGTTAGACTAAATCAAATTCAAGAATAACTATATTTTTAAAATAATTTAAAGGTACTTCAAGTATCATTCAAAAACCAAAAGAATCATCAGAACCAATGGATCAATTATTACCATCACAAATAAATGATCTTGTTGAAAATTTCAAGTAAAATGCATTTTTCATTCTTAAATTGAATAAAAACTGTTGTAAATGTTTTTTAGTGTAATGTTATCTGAAACCGAACAATTATTAACCGATATGGAACATACATCAACAAGCAAATTTGTTAATGTTCATGAACAAATTGTGCGTGTTCAACAGCATGTTTTAGATATTCAAAGTGATGTTCAAAGAGATGAAACTACATTTGCTCAAAATAATCAGGCATATCAACAAGTAAACTGAAACAATTAAAGTTTTTTTAAATATTAGAAAATTTTTTTTTCTAGGAACTTTATAATGCTACCATTTGCAAATATCTTCGTTCCCTACCATTAGGTGCTGACATTGAAGATCGTGTTGTTGATAAGTAAATAGTGGTGTTTTTGCGTTTCAGAAAGAAAACGTCTTGTTCTTTTTTTTAGTTATCTTATGCAAAAAGTTGAAGATATTAAGATCAATTATAAACAATGTCAAGACGTTTTAGATTGTGCTGAAAAACGTTTACAGACAAATGGTTTAGGTGTAACTACTGAAGGTAAATTAGAAACAATTGGTTTCTGTAATGTTTATTTATTTATTTTTCTCTAGATTTGGTTGCAACAGCAAAGAATGTTTACACAGGCATGATAACAGCTGGTTCAAAAGCTAATCAAACACATAAAATGGTGGAAGTAAGAATTTTAAACAAGTAGTGTCATTTTATTTATTTCTTCTATTTTTTAGGATCTTAAATATCGTGTTCTTGGCCATCAAAATAATTCTAATGATGCTTAAATACTTCGTTATTTTCTTTTTCTTATTTTCTGTATATTGAAATAAACAAGGCGTTTCATCTTTAATTCTATGTGTTTCATATCTGGTTTTCTTAAGTTTCAAAAATTACTAATGGATATACGTTAACATTTTATAACCGAACAAACTGCATCATAATAATTTCCTTTATTACTCAGTATTTAACTGACAAATATGAAAATATTAACTACTATTTCTTAGGCATGACAATCAAAAATGCATAAAAATATACTCGAATAATATGTAGCAATTAGGATCAATACAAAAAAGGATTTCTAAAATATATTGATTTATCCTAAAAGTATTGATTATTTGGTTATGTACGGAGAGTTAATCAGCAACATTTCGATGCTTTCTTCGGATGTATGTCTATTATCGATGTGAGGCTAGCACGACGTGGAGCTACCACAACGGACTTATGTAATCTTTGAATCCTCAACATTGGAACCCAGAGGCATAGAACCTGAAGGGGGTGTTGAATGTATCTTTTTGAGCATCGTCATGCAGGTTCTATGCGTTTGGGCTTCAACGTTGAACATTCGGAGATCACCTGAATCAGTTGTGGTAGCCTCCACGCCGTGCTAGCTTCACATCGATATGTCTATTCCGTTCGAGTAATTTATTATATTGATTGAAATAATATCTAAATTTAACTGTTTGGCTTTGTTGATATTATAGTTCTAACAGTTGAACGGATGAATAATTAAAATCAATCACTAGCCATAAATCATCGCATTCTTTGTTTTTAAAATGCATACGTATGGAATTAACTTTTGTGAATACTTTCACTCAAATTTTAAATCTTTGTATTAGCTTACAGAAAATACACAACAATGCATCTATGGAACTAGTATATATATATTTATTTATATAACCATGAAATATTAATTTCCCTTGAAAATTTAAAAACAAATTGCCAATTTTTTCATAATTTCTTTTGATATTATATGTTTATCGAGTTTTACTATTGTTATCATAAAATGCAAGTGTAATAGAATATATAAAATCTGATAATTTATCTGAAAAGAATGTTTTAAATCTTATTCTCCAATCAACTAAAGTTGGTTTTCATTGATATATATTTTTATTGGGTCTATATAATAATATATTGATCATTACTTGCGTCGAAGATCATTTGTTTTTGTATCGAGTTGCCATCGAAAGATAAATGTGAATATTACAAAAAATTGATTTTATGAAAAAACGATTCAATGATATTTTGATCATTTTACGACTATTCACTTTCAAGATTTAGTAGAAAGTTTTTTCTAATGTCTAAACATATAATTCAAAATAGACAAACAATGAAAATGTTTGTTTATTCATTTAGAAATCTATAATTCACTGCTTTTGAATTCGGTAAAATCTTTCTCACTAAATAATTATGAATAACGCTTTTCAAGTTATGATCACTAAGATTATATACGATTGAAAGCAAGAAAAGAACACAGATCGGTATCAATATCTTTTTACTTATTATTTATCAATTCAAATGAAGAAATACAAAACTATAGTAGTTTCTACTGCTTGTTCTGCTATTAGTATTAATCGTCTATAGGTAATATACTACTTTTGATCTTAGTAATAAATGTCAGTATATTTTTAAATGTAAAAGGTAGACAAAGAAAAATAATTCATTCTATTTTAACACATAGAAGATCATTTAAAAAACACGCTATTATCATTTTTATCTTTCGTTTCGACTTTGCTAATCATTTTCAGCACACAAATACTTTTAAAAATTATTTATGCATATTATAAAATTGACGATTCTATATAAATAGAAATCGATAATATTAATTACTAACCAATATTTGAACTTTTTATTACAAAAGTTAACCTGTGAACGTTGACGATCAATAGAAAAAAATCCATTAGAGCGTTTTGCAGGATTTGAATCAGAACTAATTATACGCTATTTTTTCAGTCTGACCTGTTCTATCGTGTCTGGTATGATCTAACCTGTAGATTGAGCGAGATCGGCACGAATGGTTCTTGTCTTCGCGTGAAATATATTTCTCACTCAACTTTAATTCGACGATTCTACTTTTCAACAGTATGAACACAAAACATTTTATTCAATGCTTCAGAATTTCACTAGCCTTTTCTTTTCATCAATTTAAACCATGTAATATCAAACTGATATACGTCCTATTGAAACTCTAATTGCTAGAATCGAATTCATTGATCGAGCGACTTTTGAAGAAAAATACATGAACGCATACTACTATTGAATGTTACAAATTGTCTTGCAGAAAAATAACTATTTAATTATATCCAAGTTAACAATTTTCACATGACCTACTCTAGTAACTCGGCTCAAAATTATATTATCAGATCAGACAAGCCTAAAATTTCAAAATTAAGCTTGACCCAGTCTTCACGGTATAACTCGCTGTTAGATGCGTGACAGACACGAGTTCAAGTTAGTAGTTTTGGTTCGAATGTTTTAATTAATTAATTTTTTATTGTGCAGAATCTATTGAACATTTTAAAAAAGAGAGCCTTAATTTCTTCGTCAAATTTGATTTTTTTCTAAGCAACAAATCAAATATTGGACATACTAAATGCAACTACAATTCGTATATTTCAATTCTACTTCAAATATATGCTTTTATTTCTCTAGAAGAGTAAGTCTGTAGAGTTGTTCATTCACTTTAAACTTTCGACTTATTTGCTTAGAAAAGTTCTCGGAAACGATAGGAGCACATACTTTTACTCGTTCTTTTGATCAAATTAGTCTGACGGTGTATCAGTCAAGTTCAATTGAAGATTCATAACTTCACATACTACTGTACCGATCAACATAACTCATGCATTAACACTTGTATTTTTTGGGTATGTCAAAAATTCTAAGTTATGAAGTATATTTTTCAGAGGCTAATTTCTATAAAATTGTAGTGGTACATATTTTCAGAGTAGAAATGTAGTAAAGAAGAAAAATATAGTAATGTCCTTTAGAAAATTTTTTTAATTTATCTATATGTACTGGTTGCATATCAGCAACACTCCTGCACTACCACTTTTCGTGATGAAAAGAGAATCAAAATTAAGAATAGAGAAATTGATATATGTCTCTGAAGAAAGATTTTGCTGAATCGTTGACTTTTCCTTGCTAGTTTTGTTTTACTTTTATTGAAAAGCTATAGTTTGAAACTTTCATCGAGTCTCATTGATTCATTTACTTTATAAATGTTTCTTTCTAGATAAATCTATCAAAATAAGTTTTGTAATGTCCTAACTTCTATTAAACTTCCTAATGTTTTCTTCAGTTGGGTTTTGACTGTTTTCGTGATTTTCGAAGCACATAGGTTGGTGGTATCTCTATGTGTTAGTTGCTAGTTTATGAAAATTTTGAATAAGTAGACTGCTCAATTATGCTAGAATATCATCAAATTGAAAGAGGAAATGCAAACGAAGTTAACCAATATCTATAGTCCATGATTGATCGGATATAAAAAGAACTTTTTCAATTGACTAATTATTTCTGATTCAATACTTTACGCATAGATTTAATATCAAATGTTTCATTAATATCAGGCAACAATGTAATATCTTTAGCTTTTTGGTGAAAAAATTTGTCATTTTAACAGCATTTTCAGATTTGATCTTGTGATTCTCGTTAGATATTCGTTAGTCTAGTTGAACTGTATGTAAAGCTAAAACGCTCGTTTGTACTAAACGAATTCGACGGAGCTGTTGGTATCCAGTCGGTTAGTGGCAACTGCGACTGGTGCATACCTGTTCCTATTAAGCAGCAAAAAAGGAAAATTTATTTTTGAATTTCGAACTGAAAATTCTTACAGAGATATTATTTTTCAAGTTTCTGTTATATTTTTCGGTCCAAATGTGAAATTTTTATATATAATTGGTTATATATGGGCAATATAAAATCTACTGTTTTCATAACCATGTGCAACAATAGAAAGTATCAAAATCAAGTATTCTCAATAAATTGTGTCTCTCTATAAACTTTCATATTAAAATTATTAAAGAAGTTTGCCTTAATGAGGAAACATGAATACATAATTATGCACATTACGAAATACTGTAAAGTGGCGCCCTTTGCTTCGTGAAACAATTTACGTCAAAATTTATATAAAATTTACCAATAATTGAGTTAGAAATTATTAATAACATCTAGTATCTTAAATTGACAGCAACTTTTCTTGATTATTTGAAGTTCTCCAAAGAAATAAATTGTTTAATACTGATTGGCTATTGAATTCTCCCCAAAAAATGCTTACATGTAATAGCCATTTTGAGTTACCCTAACCGTTTTGATACCAGTCGAAAATATTTTAATAAATGAATAGTCATTAAATAATGCCAACATCAATGGAACATGATCGTCAAATAACGATGAAACAAAAGTCAGCTGTACCAAGTTACGGTCCTGGAAATTCTTTATATTCCACAACAGAATCGTTAACTGCGCAAGATATTGAAAATTATTTTCGTATTGTTCCAACTCGACCGAATTCTTCCATAAATTCGATTGATAACTCAATATCAAGTAAAAATGAATGTAAAACAGTTCAATATCTGCGTCCAACATCGTTTGAACAACAACAAAAAGAAGTACAACGATTAAATAAAAATAAAATTGATATTATACCATATGCAACATTTCATGAGAAGTATTTATTTTTCTTCATTTAAAAAGGAAATGATTTTAATGCTTTACTTTTTTTCTGTTCTCTCAAGAAAACAATTATTACCAATTGATCAAACAGCCTATGCTCGAGATTTTCAACAAAGATTTGATAACGAATTTTTACAAGTAAAAGCAATATAAAATAAGACCTTTATATAAATTATTACTTGTTCTGAAAAATATAATTAAATATGAAAAACTAACATACATGAATCTTTCTTTTGAATTTATAACAGTTTTCGTTGAAATACGATTAGTAGTTTTCAGAATATGTTTCAAGTGTGAAAGAAAGAAACATCGTTCTTGAGTTATTCAACAATTAAATGATGAATTTTTTTAAGGATAATCAACTTGTCCATTTCTCAATTATAAAATTTAAGACTATCATAAAGAATAAAAATTAACTCCGTGAAAACGTATTTTATGTATCATCAGTAGTTTTGATGACTGATATGGCTATATTCAAATTAAAATAGAAATTTTATCAGAAGTAGAATAAAAAATTTTGAAAAAGATCACTGAACATTATTTATATTTTCAAACCATTGATTGAGAGAGCGTCAAACGAGAGATTGACAGACTTTTTATTCTTTACTTTTTTTGATAAAAAGTAATTCCAATTGATAAAACAATTAGATTGATTGATCGTTTCAATAATTTTCCTTTCTTTCTTTCTTAGCGTTGGAATAAAGGTATTATGGGTGATACTGATGATCAAACAACAATAAGTAGCTCGACAAGTCAACGATATGGAAGTACAACAATCGGTTCGTCAATAAATAATCGTTTATCTCGATTAAATATTGATCGAGATCAAGATAGAGAACATATGTCAGATATTGAAGGACAAACAGATCCCGACGGTGTACCAAGTGAAGTTGATAAAGAAGAAATCCGACAAATATTTGGTATTTCACATGCATTAGAAACATTTGATGATTATAAAGAAATAAGACAATGGATTAATCAAGATACAACATTACCTGTTTACGCACAAAAAGATAAAATATTATCAATAATTGAAATGAATTCAATAACAATTATTCAAGGAAATACAGGATCAGGAAAATCAACTCAAATTCCTCAATATATCTTAGATGATTACGTCAAACGTTCAAAACCAGTTAATATAGTTGTAACACAACCTCGACGTATTGCTGCTCGTTCACTTTGTGAGCATATATCACATTCACGTAATTGGCCTGTGGGACAAACAATCGGTTATCAAACAAGTTTAAATCGGCAACGTTGTGAATTAACAAGAATTTTATATTGTACAACTGGTGTTCTTCTACAAAGATTAATTTTAACAAAAACTTTACAAGATTTTACACATATTATTCTTGATGAAGTATATTTTCGTAAAATAATTGTTAAAAAATTCGTTAGACATTTATTTTAGGTTCATGAACGTGATCAATCAATGGATTTTCTATTGATATTAATTCGAACTTTATGGCTTAGAAATTCTCAAAATGTTAAAATAATTTTAATGTCAGCAACAATTGAAATAGACAAATTAGCTCATTATTTTCGTCAAGTTATTAATGGAGAAATTGTTCCAGCTTATCAATTCCAAATAGGTGATCGACTGTTTGATGTTCAAGAAATGTATTTAGAACATATTCAAAATTATGGTCTTGTAAGTCTCTCTTTTTAATTTGTAGCAATTAAAATCTTCTATTATGAATATTTATCTATTTTCTTCTGTCTAGTTGCCTGATTTAAAATTAGGCGAAGCACGTTTATCTCGTGAAGCAATTGATCTTGCCGTTAAATTAATTAAAAGTTTTGACGATGAGGATAGTATGGCTGGATGGGATCATACGAAAAATCTACCTATTAAACGTGCTACTGTACTTGTTTTTCTTCCCGGCCTACTTGAAATTCAAACGGTTCATGAAGCTCTTCGTTTTCCACGTGGAAAACCAGATTTAACAAAATTTAGTTTAGATGATTTTGATGAATGTCAAAAGTTTAATTATGATATAATCCCATTACATTCTGATCTATCAATGGATGATCAAATGAATATTTTTTCACCAGCAAAAAGTACTTATAGAAAGGTATTTATATTTTAAATTTATTTCAAAATTAATGTATGCATGTATTGGAAAATCACTTGACAATTAATAAATCTTTGAGCATGATGATAAAATTAAAAGAATACCTCAATAAAAATTTGAATGAATTCACAGATTAATTTCAATTAGCGATGCACCACTGTTATTGTAAATAGTCAAGAGTCAGACATTGACAGATGTTAATTAGACCACTGATTATATTCAAATTCATGTTTACTGTAACATCAATGCTATCAAAGCATATCCGTTTACTAACCATATATTTTATTGCTTGAAGGAACTTGATGCAAATTCATTAGTGTGTATACGCTGACTCTACGAAGTTGACAATTATTAGGCGGAAATTCTATAGAATCAATTTTAGTGGATTAATAGTATTGAAATTTATATGGAGAATAAGCATATCATACTTTCAACTTTAAGTTTCGTTATGTTCGAAATTCTCTAGAAAATATAGATGATAACAGCTGTTTTCGAAAAATTAATATGATCAAAATTTTTTTGCTTAATCTTAATGCTGATTCTATAACTAAATAGTGTTATTTAAGGAGAGTCCAACAAGCTGATAGATTCTTTGTAATAATGATGCTCTTACGATAAATTAATGTGGAAATATTTTTCAATTTTATGCATTGTATTCATTTAGATCTCACTATTTTTTTAAAGTTAAATTTAACTAGATCAAAATGTCAAACTACCTATAACAATATGATGTTCTCTTAGACTCTTGTTTCTAGCAAAACAAAGAAATTTATTGAATTAAAATATATTAGAATTCTAGAAAAATAAATATCCCGATAAATATCTTGTGATTTTCTTCATAAATAAAATTTGATATAAGATTTTCCAGAGATGAAAATTCAGTATTCAATACAAATGGGAAAAAAAATAATATTTTGAATTCTAAAACAAGCGCTTCTTATGCAGGATGTGGGTGGATGTATATGAAATACAATGAAACTAATTAGAAAATTCCGTAGTAAATATTGCTGATTGTGAATTTTAGCGTACCACTATTAATGTCTGTCCGTTATCGATACTATTAATCATTATATGTTACAGGGAGCTTAGAAATACGACAAAAAATACGTATGATAATTGAAATTCTCTTTACTAACAATTTCTAAGCCGATTCTATTTCAGTTTTGTTTTCGTTTTTCGTAATACGAAGCCTTTTTGATCTTCATCTCTATCTCGAAACGACAAAGAAAAGATCAATAATTGAAGTCATGTATTTTAAGAATCATAATAGATTCTGTTTTATGCATATTTTGAGATTTTCATTAGCGATTTTCTTATTTGACAGATTATTTTGGCGACAAATATAGCTGAAAGTTCAATCACAATTCCTGATGTTCGATATGGTAAGATAAACAAATATCTATTTTATTTTTTCTATAAATAATTTTTGAAACATTTGTTTTTAGTGATTGATTTCTGTTTAAGTAAAGAAATGGTTTGTGATCCCGAAACAAATTATTCGTGTTTGCAACTTGTGTGGGCATCAAAAGCTAATTGTGATCAACGACGAGGTTTTATTGTATTTTATTTTATTTTCTATTTCATATTTGAAAAAATAATCATTCAGGTCGAGCTGGTCGTGTTGCACATGGAAAATGTTATCGTCTTGTTAAATTACATTTATATAATTCTCTTTCAGCTTATCAGAAGCCCGCACTTCTGCAAGAGTCACTTGATCGTGTTATTCTTCAAGCAAAAAAATTAAATATTGGCGAACCAAAATCTATATTGGCGCTTGCATTAGAACCACCAAATATAAATGATATCGAAGTGACCATTCTTAAACTAAAAGAAGTTAGTTGATCATCATTTTTTTCTTTCTGTAACAAAAATAATTTAAAAAACCAAATGCTAGGTTGGTGCATTGACAATTCATATGGGTCAAGAGGAAATTCGTCCATTTGATGGAGATTTAACATTTCTTGGAAAAATCATGGCAGAATTACCTATTGACATTGAATTATCACGCTTGATTGCATTAGGACATGCGTTTGGTTTAGTTTATGAAACTGTTATTATAGCTGCATGCTTATCAACAAAAAGTATTTTTAAAATTTATTATAAAGATCGTTTAGCTGCTTATAAGTAATCACTCGTTTACTTATTTATGTATTTTTATTGCTTAAATAATTATTCTATTGTAGAAGTAAATTTAACTTTGCTGCTGGAACATTTTGTGACTGCCAAGCATTTTTAAATGTTTATAAAGTAAAAACAAAAACAACGAAAAGGAAGGTAAAATATATTTAATGAATACATTTTAGACATGGTTTTATCATGAAAATAACCAACAATTTCGAACAGCTGATGCTGAACGTCGTTGGGCACATTTGCATAATGTTGATATAAAACGTTTACGTGAAGTGCATTTACTTATTGATGAGTTAAGAAATCGTTTACGTCAATTACATATATTCGTACCACGTGATGTTGAATCAGATCAAATGCAACGACGAAGAAATCCAATTATTCAACAACAAAGTTTATTAAACCTCAAAGTTATTTCATTAATTAAATTTATAGCTTTCAACATACTTTTTCTCTGCTCGTCTTTAGATTATAATTGCCGGTGCTTTTTATCCAAATTATTATATTCGAGAACCAATCGAATCTGAAGCTGTCGATAGAGAATTATCATCAAAAGATCCATTCAGAACGATTATGGTAAACGTTTTCTTCATTATTCTATTTTATTACTTTTAACAAATCACCCTTGATAGAAAAAAATGATTTATTTATTTCTCTTCATCCCTTGTTTCAACTCAGAGTTGAGTCCGTCGAGGGTAACATTGTAAAAAAATCTATCAATTGACTAATAATTTCCATCGTTGCTATATTAAAATATTTCATCTTTCATCTTCAACAATTTTCAATGTTGAAAACTCACATCACATATCATTATGGTTGATCATATTATTATGGTTGATAAAAAAAAAGAATCGATTTTTAGTCTACTTCATCAATTTTCTATCTTCGACAGCAAAGTCTCGTCTATTTCGTCTTGTATTTGAAACATTTCGTTTTTTATGTTAATCGCGAACGTCTCTATCGAACTTTGATGAAAACAGAAAGTAGGAGTTCAGATGAAAGATGACATAACTAGTATATTGCATACACTATCAATATTTCAAAAGCGCAAATATCTCACTTTGCCTACGTCATAAAAAGTTCATAGACTAAATTTGTTAGGCTTTCAATGAAACATGTTTTTCTTTTTGGGTCAAGAGAAAAAATCGTTTTAATGTAGTGAAAACAGTTTCTAAATATTATTAAAAAAATCTTTATGATATTTTGGTTTCAATTAAAAAATCGAAAACTATTATTTTAGTTGCGAAATATTCCATTGAATGAAGGCATTTTATATCGAAGTCAAATAGAACAACAACTTAAATCATTAGTTGATATGGAAGATATGAAAATAACATTTGAAAATACAAAGTAAATACAAAAAATGTAATAAAATCATTGAAATATATTTTTCTTTAACAAAAACTAAAACGTAGAGCACTTGTTGAATTTGCTCCACAACATTCAACACGTCATATAGTAAATCCATCCGAATTACCTGTTGATCAAATAGTTACATCAGCTACATCACATACGAATATTTTACCAGCTGTTTATTTTGCTGTTAAAGCTCGGTACGTATATCAGAAGAAAAAACTAAAAAAGGGGCATTGCTTTTAAATGATAAATTCTTTTCTAGAATGACCAATCACAAAATAATTTTACAGACATTTGAACGATCGGCAGCTCTACAACGTGTTGAACGCCTTCGTTTATATATGTCGCGTGGAGAAATACAAAATGATATGTTGCATCATGAAAGAGATTTATTTGAAGAACATCATGATGCTTTGCTGCGTTTAGCTCAACGACAAAGTAAAATTTATTTAATAAAGTAACGACAAAATTCGCTTTTTTTGTGTCTAGCAACAATTTATTCATTACCACAACAAAAATTACCTGATATAAAATGTCAATATTTAACGATAAATATTTCGACTGTTGTTGATGTCAATCATTTTTGGGCACAATATGTTGATCGTGAAACAAATGCACAAATGAAAAAAATAAATGATTTACTTTCACGTACATTACTAGCATTAACATCGACATCAATTGAAATCGGCATGATGTGTGCTGCACCATTTGTTCTCTTATCACCACAAGTAACAACACCAACACCGAATCATAGTAATAGTAACAATTGTCAACTTGTGAAACGATATCAATATTATCGAGCAAGAGTAACACATAGAATTGATAATGTCACTGTTGAAGTTTTTTTTGTTGATTGGGGAAATACTGAACAAATCCCAATAGATCAATGTAAGGTCCTTTCAAAAAACAAAAACTTAATTTTTCGTTGTTTTGATGTTTAAATATTTCTTTTTTCTTCTTCAGTACGTGCACTTGAGCCATCTCTTTTGAAAATTGCTCCACTTGCATTTGAATGTCAATTATGGTCAATTAGACCAAACATAGCTCGTTATCCATTAAATAATTGGCCAATTCCAGCACTTAATTATGTTTGTTCACTAATTCTTGAACGACAAGTTGAAGCAGAAATCAAAGCAGTTGCTCGAAACATTGTTAAATGTGATATCCTATTAGACATGCAAATAAATCGAAATCATGCGAATCATCAACAAAATCATCAAAGATACAGTGAAGAAGGACGAACTACTCTTCGACAAACTTTAATTAATAAAGGCTTTGCTGAAGCAGCAAATGAAGAACATACTTTCCAAGTAAGTTTTATACTTATTAAAATATCTGTTTGGCCATGCAGCAGGCCAACCTAGATGAAAATATTAAATTTTAAAAATCACTACCTGTGTCTTTTTCTATCTGATAGCAATGCCCCTTTTTTAGTTTTTTCTTTTATGGGAAACAAGTATTTCTGTTGGTATTCGTTAATTATTGAGAAGGTCTACCAGTAAATGAGGAAATTCTGAATAATAGTTTTCTTCATTTTTGTTACCTTAATGATACTAACATCTCGTATCAACAACTAGTATATTTGAGAATTTTTTCGTTCAACCCCTCCCCCCCTCCCTCAAATGTTGACTTAAAGCTACTGTCGACCAATTTTTTTTTTACTTTTATATAGAGTACATTCATAGCAAAAGTAGCAACAAATTAATCGTCCTAAGCGCTCTAATTATTGAGAAAAATTAAAAATATAGTAAAGAAAAAGGAATCATCGTGTGACGCTTGAACACGTCGATATATTTAACTTCAACAATACGTTTTCATGTTTATGTATGTAGTTTATGATTGAATAAAAATTCTGTATGAATTTTTCTTTTCATACAGTATTGTAATACAATATTATACAAATTTTATTAGTTTTATTGCTAGAAGAACCAAAATGTGTATTAAAACAATAAATCAATAAACACAGTAAATTTGTTTTTGAAGAGTATAACAATCTTGAGAAAAAAAGAATCTATCACACTTCACTTACAACTTATATATATGTGCTTATTATAAAGAGTTTTTCCACGTTTTGTTAAAATATTTGTTCTAGTTTGCACAAGGTTGAGCAAAATATAGTATAAATAAAAATTCATTTTAAAGTTATAAAAAAAAAGCTTTCTTCAAAATGACAACTAACGAGGGAACCTCTCCAAGTGATACCAACCATTCGGGTTCATATTGTGCTCATAAGTAGGATCCAGCG